ACTACGAGCCTGTAAACGCATCTTGAGACCTGAAAGTCAAGCTGGGTTCTTTCCTTCTAGCATAGGCTCCCCAATAATGAAGATCTCACCGGTCAAACTAAGCCCTCAGAGACACCTGTGCGACTCCATTGCTATCAAAACATTTGCACAGGTCTGACTGATTGACCCTTTCTTGGGAACTTAGCCAACCATTCTGTTGCTGCTGCACAAGAAGGAAAGAATCCAGCCTACTTTCTTGGTACCGCAGTGGCCCAGCTAGGCAAATGGTTTAATCACAAAAATGGGCATATATACAAATACACCCAGAGCAGAGCTGTTCAGAAAGACGCAGACATCTTTTTCACAGTGACTCTCCAGAGCACAACTGCATTTTGATGTTCCTTTTGAAGTTGCAGTGGAAGGAGGAATAACAAAAAGCCATAGTTGGGGGGAGGCACAGCGGCCTTGCTTCTCCTGCTAGTGAGCATTGTTAGGTCACTTCTAAAAAGCTGAAATCAGCATGAACGTTCTTCCACTGGCTCCAGGAAGATACTTTAAAATGCTCAGATAATTTAATAATGCAAACCCTTTTAAGCCATCTTGCGAGTCAGTTCTCTGAGAATAGAGTGACTTTCCTGTTTCAACCAGTGAGGAGTTCTTTGGCCAAATGCACGTGTTTTAGGGTACAGCAAAAAAAGGACCCATGGCAGCAAGTCTCAGAGCCCAGGTCAGCTGACTCAGGCTCATACGGTGGGGCTAAAAATAGCAGTGTAGACATTTGGGCTCGGGGTGGTGCTTAGGCTCTGAAGCCTCCAGTGTGGGGGGAGGGTCTCGGAGCCCACACACCAGCCCAAGCCCAAACATCTCCACTGCTATCTTTAGTCCACAAGCTTGAGTCAGTTGACCCAGGCTCTGAGACTTGCTGCTGCAGGATTTTTTGCTGTGTAGATGTACCCATAACATCTTTTGTGGCCTGTCCCACGGGCAAGCTTTATTTAGCCCAGTGCTACCAAGAACAGCACTCTTATACGGCGACCTTTGACTCCTGCATGAAAATAATGATGCAAAGCAGACCGACTGCACAGACCTAGACAATGTCATTCAGCTGTAGGTGCCTTGGGTAACGTGCTTCCGAGCAGCCCCACTGCACTGCTCTTCCTCTGCACCTACTGCTTCGATCCTACTGGAGGAGAGAGACTCCTCCCCAGCTCTGCTGGGGGAGCAGCGGAGTGAGCCATGGAGACAGAAAGGAACAAAAATTGGGAGAAAATCCTCTCCTCCCTTCCTTATTCTATGGGTCATACACTGCCACTGGTTTTAAATAGATCTCTTCTCTGCTGGTGCTATTTGGCCTCCTAATCTGCTAGTAGCCTGACTACGCTACATCAGACTCATTTCTCATTAGACTATTTTGCAATCGCTGAGGGTAAGACACTGAGTTTCTGTCTGAACCATGAAGGTTCCCTTCAGTGCCAACTTTTGGGATAATGGAACTGAGCTGTGAGTTGTTAGCGACATGTGGTTGTTTTAATACACCAATTCTCTCCCCATCTAGGGGGAGAACCTATTATCTCCACCCACAGCTGCTTGCAGGGCTTTTAAGAGCCAGTAAGTGCATGGCCATAGATAGCATGTACAGAGGCTCACTAAACCACACCCTCCCATCAAAACAAAACACTTGGCACTGTAAAATGCACTTGCTAACAGAAAACGAAGGCCTGCTTCAGCCTCTCGCCTGTATCGGGTACAGGATCTGTCTGACCCCAGTACGCTGACAGGACAACAATCCAGCCTTCAATATTTAACATCTGGGGGGCACTTTAGACTAGACTCCATATCATGTAATCTGGTCCTTGGAAACAACCTATTTCCCTTTCCCCGAAGTGACTGGGTAGCTAGGAGCATAACACAGTAGAATCAGAACAAATGCCATATTATGGGCCATGTTGTGCCTTTCAGGCCCAATCTGTGGTCAGGTGCAGTGAACAGGGGCACAGCACTCTGGCACTTGCACGATGCCTCCAGACCCAGAGGGAGGGCATGGCCTTGGTGCCACCCTTTGAAAGGGTGCAGAGTGCTCTGCTTCTCTGTGGGGGAGGGGAGGGGCAGTTAGACTGCTGGGAGTGGCTCGAGACTGGTGTATTCCTGGTGCTCCCTGAATGCCTGCCTTGTCTCTGACTGTGCCCTTTGCCTGTGCAGGAGAAAAGCAAGGCAAGGCCCTCTGTGCTCTCTTCCCATCCTCCCACTTGCATGGCTTTCCTCTCTCTGCCTCACTGAGCTCCATACTCCCCTCTGCTCTGCCCCATGCTGCAGAGGGGAACAAACTGGGATTGGCAGCAAATGGGTGAAATGAGAACAGTGACTCCTACTCACACGCTGTGCATGCCCTTCCACTCCAGTTCAGTGCTGTCAGCCTCTGAGTTTCCCACAGAGATTGGAACCCCCGGGCCCTCCAGGCTGGTCCAATCTCCTCCCCCAGAGATCACTTTAACTTTGCAAGTGCTGTGCCAGAGTGCAGGGGGCATTCTCTTTCTCACCCTCCAGGTTTTCAGTCAGAGGGTAGCGCCTGGCTCAATATTTGGTGGTTTTCTGCATCAGTCATATTACAAGTAGAAAGGGGACTAGTCCCTCCACTATTGCACTCGAGCATCATTCTCAGTAAATAATCAAACTGAAAGAGAACCAGCAAGAACAAAGCACTTGCCAAACTGGACCAAACCTGAGTCCATCTCTTCTCAATTTTTGATCTATAGCAATACTTTCTCACCTCATGACTACTTAGCTTCTTCAGTAGCCTCTTCTGCAGGACCTTGTCCAATACCTTTTGGAAAGCTACATAAACTATAGCAACCAGTTCTCCTTTATCCACTACGTTATTGACACATTCAAAGTATTCAATAGATTAGTTAGACACCGTTTTCCTTTGCAGAATCCATACCGGTTAGATCCTATCATATCATAATCTTCCGGATGTTTTGTTGTTCCGTTTTTAATTATCTTTCCAACCAATTTGCCAGGTACAGCTGTAAGGCTTGTTGGTCTATAATTCCCCAGATGACCCCTAGAACCAATTTTAAATATAGAGACATCATTGGCTGCGCTCCAATCCACTAGAAGAGTGCCTGCTTTTAATGACAGACTGAATATTTTTATTTGCAGCTCAGCCACTTCATACTTAAGATCCTCAGGACTGCTGGATAGACCACGTGAGGCTGGTGACTTACTGCTTTAAATTATCAGTTTGCTCCAGCACCTCTTTTCCTGACACCTCAGTCTCTGACAGCACTGCATCTTTGTTACCAGACGAGAGCAGGTCCACGATAGGAATCTCCCCATCATCCTCAGCGGTGAAAGCTAATGCAAAGAAATCATTGAGCTTCTCAGCAATGTCCTTAATTACTCATCCTTAATTGCTTTAATTACTCCCTTTAAGCCCAAGGGATCAAGAATACCCACCAATTCTTTCACAGGCTTCCTGCTTCTCATACACTTAAAGAATCTCTTGTTACTTGTTTTTATACCTGTGGGTATTTGTTCTTTGAAATCTATCATGCCCCCTTTGAATTCTTACTTATTGCCTCCTGTCAAATAAAAAAAAGCGACGGGCATGCACAGACAGACAGGCAGTCTGGGCTTTTTGCTTATGTGCTCATATAGCCATTCCGGACTTGAGAACATCCCCACATTCCTTGTGTAGAAATCAAGGAAACACGAAGGGACATGGTAAAGTCTAACCTAGGTCAGGGACAAATCATCTATTATCATTTAGTCTGAATTGTTAATAGAGAAACTAGTAAAGAATGCAGGGCTTCAATCCTCTTTTTTCAAAAATAAAAATCATTACCCCCATTCCACATGTAATTAACATGTGTGCCACTATCCCCTACTGAATGGGTTCAAACTGCTCATGTCACATAGATCTCACACTGCTAACAGCAATTCTCCTTGAGTAAGTAGCAAAGGCTTATGCTTGTGGAGCAAGAAGTTCCAGCTCCCATCCCTGCTGCTCACATTAAGTTCTAGTTGGTCACTATGTGAAATTCTGCATGGCCATGGATCTGCTACTAGGGTTAGGCATTACACCGTAATACACAGCAGAGTACAGTCCTACTTATCTGAAGGGAGGCTCCGGGAGACATTGGGAGCCCACATTTGGAGAAGGTTTGAGATCAACAGGGCTGTGACCAGCTTTGAACAGTTTGTGCCCAAAATCCAGAGTTCAGGGAAAACATGCTAGCCGGTCATTGCTGTGAAACCTGCAGGCTGGGGACTGAAGGGGAGGCCCACTCAGGCCCCAAACTTTCCCAAGTCACATTCCTTGCAACTGTGAGGGAGAAGAGGAGTTTGGGCAGTCCTGAAAAGTTTGAGCTCCAAATGCCCAGTCTTGGATCTCAGGAAAGAAACACCAGGTTTAAAAACCACATGGGGTCATACACACACTCTGGTTAGCGTCCATGGCTCTTGAACAATAGCTTTGTTCTCAAGCAAAGACTCTAATGCAGGGGGGAAATACAGGGGCTGTTAAAAGCCTTCCCTGGCCTTTGTGCCTCTAAAATCACAATCCTACCAGTGTGATGTGTTTGAGAGGTGTTTTGTGTTTAATATTGCAGCCAGTTCAAGGCAGCCTGGGCTTCTATGCTGCACACCTGATCTGGGCCACCTGAAGGAAAGAAGACTGGGCCATCTCTTGGTGCGGCTTGTACAGTGCCTGGCACAATGAGGTCCTGCCACAGACAGAGTAACCCATGAGAAGACAGGGAGAAGCCCCATTCACAGCGGGCTGTCTCCGGTCTGCAGCAGAGCAGCCGGGCTTCACAGCCAGGAGCTGGCCCCTGCGATGAAACAGGCGGAGACGGTCACAGTGAAGCCTGCCTCCTTCCCCAGCCCAAGCTCCCAGCTGAGCCGGCCTGGACCCCCGGCGAGTCCCCTGGCCCAGTGCCCGCGGCGAGGGGCAGGAGCCCGGGGCGGGCTCGGGAAGCGGGAGCGGCGGCTGGCACATGGGGCCCGGGAGGAGGAGCTCCGCGCCGCGCATCACGGGGCGTTAGTCGCAACTACCCAAAGTAGGCGCCCCGCGCTGCCCGCTCACTGCCCGGCCCCGGCGGAGGTGAGTGCACGGCCCCCGGGGCCCGCTCCGGCCCCGGCTCCGGCTGGGTCCCTGTCCCCGCCCTCGCGTGGCGACGCGCCACTTGCCGGCCGGCGGCGGTACATGGGGAAGGGGCGGGCGCAGCCGGAGTTTTGCTACTGCCCGGGCTGGGAGAGGGGGGCTGGAGCGCGCGGCTCCGTGCAGGGCTCCAGGGGGAGCGGGGCTGGTGATCCCGGCCCCCCATCCGATCACCTGACCGCGCGGGGAGGGGGAAGCTATGGCCGGGCTGCGCTCTCCCCCCACAGGCAGGGGGGCTCTGGGGCGAGGGGAGTTCCTCAGCCCGGGGTCCGCCGGAGCCCCCGCTGCAGCCTCTCCGGGCTGCTCAGAAGCCCCCGGACACGTATGGAGGGGCCAGACCCTGCGTCCACAATGCGACTGGATCGCACGTGGCCACCCCCTGTCCTTTTCCGTTCGTCCTGGAGTATTAGCGCTCCGGCCCGGGGGCGTTGTTCCCTAGGCGCTCGGATGGCCATCATGATGGCCTGTTGTTACTCCCTCGGGCCTGGCTTTCTTCAAACAAGTGGGACTGGGTGTCTGGGTCATGCACCGCCCCGGGCAAGACGAGCCACAAGCAACACGCTAGGGGACATCTTGAGCCTGATTTTTCTCTCTCTGTGAGTCTAGTCGGTGTAGTCAAGTAACTTGTTTCAAATCAGGGAGATGGCATTGAACTTTAATTGCTTTGTTATCAAGTATCAGGGGGTAGCCGTGTTAGTCTGTATCTACAAAAACAACAAGGAGTCTGGTGGCACCTTAAAGACTAACAGATTTACTTGGGCATAAGCTTTCGTGGGTAAAAACATCTGAAGAAGTGAGGTTTTTACTCACGAAAGCTTATGCCCAAATAAATCTGTTAGTCTTTAAGGTGCCACCAGACTCCTTGTTGCTTTGTTATGTGTGCGTTAATCCAGGGGTGTTTGGGACGTCATCTGGTGTCCGTGGTTTTCGCGATGGAAGTATTTGGTTTTTATTTCAGATCACAGCAGCCTCTCAAACGAAGTTGATTTAGAAAAGAGTTAGAAGTGCTTTCAGGAAGTATCTGCCCTGAATCCTCCTGCCAGCTTCTGTGGTTTTACAGTTACATTTTCCATTTTTTTTTTTTTTAATTCTTCACTGTTGGTGTGTGAAACGCCCACACAAATGGGGGCGGGGGAGATTGACAGTCTACACTGGGGAAAAAGAGAAAGTGACTCTACATTAAGTGCTGTCAAATGGACTCAGAAAACAGACTGAAACCAGATAAAATATCTTTTCTCAAGCCCAGCTATAGCCATCTTAGATGTGTCAACAGTTGGTTTAAAAAAATCCACTAGACAGATATGTACATTTTAAATTGATGTCCCCCTTTAACAATAATTTACCCTTATACTATATATACTTTCATGCAGGCCCCCAAAGTGCTTTGCAAATTTTACAGTCTTCATGTAATAGATGAGAAAACAAGCCACAGAAGTGAAATGACTTGTCCAAGGTCACGTCGGTGTCAGAGGGAGGAACAGAAATTCCATTTGAACAGAGAGATAATGGCAATAATTATATTATCACCATAGCTGGTCTGTAAAAGGAAGAATGCTTGAAGGCCACAGGGGAGTTTAGTTTATGTTCAGTCTCAGATTAGTTAGAAATGAAGAACAATATATCAGGGTATAAATTAAAGAATCGGCATGGGAGTTGTGGTCTGATTCTGGAATGACTTTTGTTCCTTGCCCAGGCCAGTAGAAACGCAGGAGGTTTCTGAGTGCCATGCTTGTGATCCAGGGAAAGGAGGAAGTTTGCCTACCACTTAGCTATAGAAACATTTCCTTCCAGAACACCCACTGAGTGGATTGGTACTGGCCTTTGAGTAGGCTGCTTGTCCTACCTGTCAGATGATTAACACCTTGTTCGCAGCACACTGAAAGAGAAGGAAGGGAGAAATGGGGGACCAGGTAGGGTTCCTCAGGATCAGTCATTCTCAGCCAATCAGCACAGCACAGAGCTGCGGCCTATGTGACATCCTCAGGGCCATACAGCATGGCATTGGGTGAGCCATGGGCTTCTGGAGGCTAGCCCCCGGCCCAGCCCACCCTTTCCACCTGAGGCCCAGCCCACCTTTCCCCTCCAAGGCCGGAGGCCCTCCCACTGCAGCCGCCAGCCCCAGGTCACCCGAGCACGTCCAACCGCAGAGCACCCGGCGGGTGGCACACGCTCTCCCCCCCCCCCCCCCCCCTGGGGCCCCAGACCGGCAGGCGGCCCGCCACCCCCCCCACCCAGCCCCGGACTGACAGGTGGGCGGCACGCGGCCCTC